AAAAAAAAAAAGAAAAGAAAAAAAGAAAAAAATAGCTGGGCATTATGGTGGGTGCTTATAGTCCCAGATACTTGGGAGGCTAAGGCAAGAGAATCACTTAAACCCAAGAGTTTGAGGTTGCTGTGAGCTGTGATGTCATGGCACTGTACCCAGGATGACAGCTTGAGGTTCTGTCTCGAAAAAAAGTATGGGGTTGTATAAAAAAAAATAAATAAACTCAAAAAGGAAAAACTTGTAGCTGGGACTACAGGTGCCTGCCATAAGCCCGGCTATTTTTTTTTTGCAGTTTTAGCCGGGGCTGGGCTTAAACCCGCCCCCCCCGTTATATGGGGCTGGCATCCTACTCCTTGAGCCACAGGCGCTGCCCTGCCCAGCTATTTTTTGATTGTAGTTGTTATTGTTGTTTGCCAGGCTCAGGCCAGATTTGAACCTGCCAGCTCAGGTGTATGTGGCTGGCGCCTTAGCAGCTTGAGCCTCAGGCGCCAAGTCGATATTTCACTTATTGTTAGACATGAGAGGGGGGTAAAAAGCGCCCTTCCTTATGTTTGGTAAAAGACCTGGATGGCTCACATTTGTAATCCTAGCACTCTGGGAGGTGGAGCCAGGTGGCTCGCTTGAGTCCAGGAGTTCGCAACAAGTCTGAGCAAGAGTGAGACTCTGTCTCCACTAAAAATAGAAAAAACTAGCCAGGCATGGTGGTCCATGCCTATAGTTCTAGCTACTAGTGAGGCTAAGGCAGGAAAGATCACTTGAACCCAGGAATTTGAGGTTGTTGTGAGCTACAGTGATGCTCTGGCACTCTACCCAAGGTGACAGAGTGAGACATGGTCTTAAAAAAAAAAAAAAAAATTGTCCCAAATGGTTGGTGGCAACTATGAGGAATAATGCAAATTCTTATACATACATTGGTATGGTTCTTATGAAAGAACTTGGATTTCATTTAAAAAACAACCTAAATTTGTGTCAGTGAATGGATTTATTTGGGTAACTTATTTTCCTTACTCTCTTCCCATTTCACTAAAAAGAAACTGTCTAGGCTCGGCGCCTGTGGCTCAAGTGGCTAAGGCGCCAGCCACGTACACCCAAGGTGGAGGGTTCGAATCCAGCCCTGGCCCACCAAACAACAATGATGGCTGTAACCAAAAAATAGCCGGGCGTTGTGGCGGGCGCCTGTGGTCCCAGCTACTTAGGAGGAAGAGGCAGAAGATTCGCTTGAGCCCAGGAGTTGGAGGTTGCTGTGAGCTGAGATGCCACGGCACTCTACCCAGGGGGACAGCTTGAGGCT